TATTCTATTCTATTCTATTCTATTCTATTCTATTCTATTCTATTCTATTCTATTCTATTCTGACTCTGGATATTTACCATAGAACCAACAGGGCTTATTTCTCCAGTGCCTGTATTACAGAGATATCTGTACTCCTGTTTCCTCTTATCATTATCCATAAATACCCAGGACACACAGGATACTTTTTCATAAGCCTGTTACTTTCAGATACCAATGCAACCTACAATATTCTATACGTACAATGTTCTATGAAGCAGTGCTCAAAATTCATTGGATGACGACCTGTGCTCAACTTTATAAATTAAAGCTAATGGGCTTTAATTAATATTGGGCTAGTACTTTATTATTGTAAATATTAGAATATTTTATAACTTGATACAGTCTTCCACATGCTAACCTTTAATGCTCCCTTTACACCCATCTAATACTTCCACAACTCCTTGCAGATTCTCACTTTTTATACATACTTTTAATTTTTAACTTATAATTTATACATCTTCTAGCTTTTTATAATTTCTTTTACATTTTTGTTTTCACTCTTGGTACATTAGATTCTTTATGCTTCTTAATGGTTATATTCCACTACAGTTGGTCAATGATCATAATAAAAATTTGACTATACTTGTCATATAAGTATATGAGGAAAGGGAAAATAAAGTGTGGTGGTAAGGTACTTATAAATGAAGTAACGCAAGTAAAGTGAGCAAACAATAAGAACTGTAATTGTTTTAGATTAATTATAAAAAGTTCGACTCTGCCTTTTCTTCCAGTTATGATGGATAGTCACCATACATTGCATTTGATGTGAAGGTCTTTTTTGTACTGTACATTATTGGGGTTGGGTGACTGTATAAATGTCATTAATGAAAAAATGAGATATTGACTTTAAACAGATATTGACAAACGTTAAAGTAATTTCTTTTCAGAGTTACACTATCCCTGAGGATTTTCCACACTAGCAATTTATATTATATAGCTACTCATTGGTGTGTTGATAGATCATTAAATACAGATTTAATGTTGCCACAGTGGCAATATAAAGTGGCTGGGAGCATATTATCCCTGCTATGGGTATTTTTATTCAAACAATTAAAATTACATCAATTTTTGAACATATATTTTAGGAAGATTGTTGACAAAAAAGCATGTCCAGAGGATAAGGATTAAGGGCTAAGAAGGAATAATTTATGAGGAATAGTTAGAGTGTAGGGAATCTGGCTGCTACATGCCTGTATTCCTGTTATTAAAGAATACATGCCTGCACTTCTGATTTTTAAACATGTGTCTTCAAAAATGATTTGGAAATTGCAAGTGGTTAAAAATATAGCCACTAAATATTTGATCAATACAGTAAGAGCAAGGCAGTCAGCACATGATACACTGATATCCAATTAATTGCCAACAAATTAAAGTGCCAGTTTAAGCCTTTAATGGGCTGTACTTAGTATCTGAAAGACTGCTCGCATCCCTAAGAACAAGACTACTATTTGAGGCCTTGCTGTCTGGCCAGGACACCAAGGAAAAAAAAAATGATGGTATTAAGAACAGAACATTTTCTGAGAAAACTCTGCAGCTGTGATGGATTTTTTCCTCCTCCCCAAATCCCAGCCCCCTTTTACTGCTTTCAAGTCATCTTTGATAATGCTTTCCTTTTGTAAAACGTTTATACACAGATAGTCTTCTGCATCTCTTTGCTTCAGGATACAAATTTGCTCCCCCCTTTTATAAACTATTAGAACTTTTTTTTTAATGTTGGGACACAAATGACTAATGCATACTCTGCCTCTTCCATTCATAAACAAAGGATAATTATTCCCTTATATATCAAAATGCACGAGCGGTGCTCCCAGATAGGTGGATTTTAGTACTATCATCAAAAATATATAATATGGCTGACTTTCTCCTTCCTTAATAGCTTGGGTGTGCAGAAGTGTGTGTTTTCTACAAAAAAAGGTCCCGAATCTATAGGAAAATACAAGAGAGTCACAGGTTGGGAGACTCCCTCAAATGTCAGTAAGGAACATTAATTATAAATGGTCTTTTTTTCTGAATCATCCCTAGGTTGGAGTGCCTATCCTATATATTCATGCTCTTCGCAACTATGGTTCACGCAACGGAATATTTTTTTATTTATTTCCCCAACCTATTAAATACGGGTGCTGGCTTTGCTAAACTCAAAACGAGGCCGTCGTGTCTAACAGGCGCCGCGGATACTTCTCCACTTGCGGCTGTTCTTGTTTTGGTCTCCAGGTCCTTTACATTCTTAAATGTATGCTGGAGAAACCCCAAAAGCTTTGATTTATGTGGATGGGTATCTATCGCTATTTACTGGATTAGGGATGAAAAGGGAGAACTTTTACAATGTTTATTTATTGGATTTATTCGCGGATCCTCTGAGAGGTCTCGGGGGGGTACCCAGGCTTCACGTGGAGGACCGCTTGCTCCGTGGGAATATCCAGGGAAGCTTCCCGCAAGGCAGCCTGGAGGGACCCACCTGCTCTTTGCTCCTTTCATGTTTCCTTCCCGGACGGGATTTTCAGCCGTGGTCCGGTCACCGAAGCCAGCACCGAGATCGAGAAGGGGGAGGGGGGGGAAACAGGCTCCGGCCGCGCAGGAACGAGACCCCCCGAGGTTATAACGACGGTCCCCGGGTGGGTGGGCGCCCCCCCCCCCTCCGCGCCCTTCTCGGCCCCTTCAGCACTAGCTTCCCCTCCCAGGAAGGGCGCGCGGTCGCCAGTGGAGCCTGGCGGCGGGTTCGGATGCTGCGGCTCTTTCCCAAGCTGCACCGCGGCGGCATCGGCGGCGCTGCTCTCTGGCTCGGCCCGTCGCTGTCACCGCCAGGAGGAGGCTGCGGCGGCTGCGCTTTCCCGACCGGCCTGGTGCCCGCCAGCCGCCGCAGCTTGCAGGAAGAAGCCGCCGCTTCTGCAGTTGCCGCCGCCATCATGGTGCCCGGGGCTGCAGCCTTGCTGGTTGCCTGGGGGCTCTGAGCCCCCCTCATCACCTCCTCTTCCTCCTGTCGCCGGTCGTGCCGTCGCCGACGTCGCCACCCGCCTCCGCCCTTCACTCCGCCGTTTTGGGCCGCCGGTAAGGACCCCCCCCCACCTCCCGAGCGAGGGAGCCTGAGCACGGAGAGGGCCCGGCGGTTTGGGGGGGGGGCGCGGGCTCCCCTCTGGCCCGCGCCGGTGGGGCCTCGGTGGCCCCTGGGTGTCGGGCGGGGTCAGGCCCGATGTTCGCTAAGGACTCCGGGATCTCCCTGCTTGACACCCCGCTTGTCCGGGGCCTGCATTTGCAGAAGGTGAAGTGTGTGTCTCCCAGCCCTGGGCAGGCCTCGCCGGAGCTCTCCGCTTCTTCCTCGGCGCTTTGGGGAGGCAGGAGGAAAAAAGGTACACAAACAAAGGAAGGGGGCTCCGGGGGTGGGCGGGAGGGCGGGAGAGCGGGCAGGTCTCCTCTGCTAGGCTTCCCCACCACCACCCCACTTTCTTGCTTCGGCCGAGGGGGGCTTTCTTGGAAACGGGCTGGAGGAAGGACCCTGGCAGACAAAGGGACTTGTAAGGCCGGTCCACCCCTAGGTAGGAAGCATTCCTGTCGCGTTGGCCCAAGACGGGTTGCTTCCCCCCTGGTTCTCTGGCGCTCCAGTTTGGAAAGTTAGGATTACAAAAAGGTGGCGGGCAGGTTGCTCTTCGAATGGTTGCCGCTATAATAGGGTCCTAGCTATCAAGAATGACCCCCCCCACACACACACACCGATCGTAACTCCCTTGAATGCAAAGATTGACAACCTGGTCAAGTCCAACTCTAGCTGCTTCCTGTTTAGCCAAAGAGTTCCCTTGGATCTTGGATACAGGCTGCTGAACATAACAGACAAAGGGGACTGACAGAACCATATATAATATATATGTACGTATATATATTTAAAAAGAAGAAATTGCAACTTCCCTAATCCGTGAAATCCATTCTCGGATAGGGTTTTGATCTATTCTGAATATCTTTTTTAAAAATTTTTTGATAAAAGATTAGTGAGCTGCCCTGCAGAAGCAGTCCCTTTTTTCAAAAAAGGTTTTAGATTCAGAATACCTTGAAAATAAATAATTCAGGATTAGCAGTATCTGACTTCTTTTTGCTGTTTAGTGCAGAATTCTACTCTTTTTGGAGACAGACTGTCAGAAACAGATCGAGGCTGCATGCCTATGCAGGTGTGCACAGGGAATCAAATTTGCTTAATCTCAGTGGCAATTATTTTTTAATAAATGTTCATTGGGATGCAAAAAAAAGTGCAGAATCCATAACTGCCATTTTTTTGGTCTTTTTTTTTATCTTTTACCATTAAATGGCATTCCTTTTCATGATTATATTATGAAAGTAAGAAACACTGACAATAATTGAGCCCATCTATTTGGCATCCTTACTTTTGGGATGGCTATATATACTCTAACGATAAGACTTCTGTAATTTTATTTTTAACTTTATTAGATGAAGATGATAAGATGTTTGGGAGCTTATTTATGAGTAGAAATGTCCAATTCTAAAAACAGCTAAGAAGTGATACTCTGTACATAATTGTTTGTATTTATCTATTTACATGTTGAACTGAAAATGACTACTTGCCACAATTCAAACAAGCATTTACAGATCCCAGACTGTTATTATTCAGAGAAAACTCTGAGTGAGTAGAAAGATGGTAGGTTAAGGTATTGTGGTAGAAACACATCTCTGAAAGAATCACAAACAATATACTTGTTTTTAAGCCATAAAACGTGTTGAAGCAAATCCTATGCTTAACAGCACGTAAAACATAGGAGTATTTCTAATAAGTGTTATTCCCCCTGGAAGCGCATGTAAAAATATTTCAGCGGGGGATATTGGAATTGGTTAATTGTATTTTTCAGGAAATGTTTATTAGCAGTGGTTATAGCTACCTGTTAAATCATGTGTAAAAATCTTCATAGGAGAACATTTTCAGTGGCATCAAGTTTCCTATTTACCCACATGGGAATAATCTGAAAAATGTCTCCAAAATGAATTGTGATAATGACAAAACTCATTCACTATCAAAATATTTGCTTTCCATCAAAAGTAGTTGCAGACTAGATAGGAGCATTCAGACCCAATTTAAGTACACATGCCTAAATATCACTAAAGACTCAGAAATCTCTTAATGTACCTATGCTATTGTATAATTATTCTAGCCGTATGTTAACGCTGGCAATATTCTGATATAAATAATATATTGGAATAAAGATAATTTCAGACTGATAGCTTAACTCTTAATAACCAAGAAAACTAAACATCTTTTCTTGATTATTATTGTTTGCATTAAGGGAAAAAAGGAAATTAATGTTACAGCAGAAGATAATGTTATTTCTGGATATTAGAAAATATTTTTATATATAATAATTTTTATTAAAAATTACAATTAAAAAGAGAAAATACAAAAATTACAAGAATAAAAGAAAAAAATGCAGAAAAGAAAAAATAGAGTAGAAAGGAAGTAAGAAATAAGATCATAGTAAAGAAAAAGAAAATATATGCAAGGAAATGGTTTTTCCTTTCAGCATAACAATTATAAACAATTTTAATAACTTGTCACTTCTTTTAAATTACAACAAAATATATCTTCTTCCGATATCCTATTTCTTCTCCATAAACAGATCCTTAAAGCCTCGTCATTCAGTCCTGATCGGTAAAAGTGTATTAATTACCAGAGACAATAACATATCTATTTTAACCTTGACCAAATAAACCAACTTTATATTCCTTCCTTTTATTTTTTTTATTTTTAACAACATTGATTTTTAATCCATTTAAATAATGTCTTAGAACTTGATTTTTCTTTTCATTCTGTTTTTATCCGTTCTCACAAGATTCTTCAAAGCTTTAACGAATCAGTTTTGTAAATCTGAGATTGGAAAGTTTCCAGGACACTCTTTTGATTTGTATTTCTATATCCCTTTTCATTATTAAGACATCTTCTGTTTTCAGTTGTTATCCAATATGGCATCTTTTCCATATTGTTCTTATAGTTGTCATTTTTTAAATCTACTTTCAGATAGGTCTCAACCTTGTCCTGTAAAACTTGTTCCTTTTCCATCACATATTTAAAGACAATCTTTCTATAGGGACACCTTTAAAATTAACTTCTAAAATTGTTCAAAAATATCCTTCAATATATCCAATGTTAAGATATTGTATTTGCAAGTCAAATTTAAATGTTATTCTGCTTTAATTATAATCTTTAGTTTCTTCTAGTTCCCTCTTGTGTTCAACCTTCAAAGTTCCATCATATTTTTTAAAAAAAAAATTCAAAAAGAGCATTTTCCTATGGAAAGGATTCTTATAATTAACTCTGAAATCTTATTTCAAATCCATGTGTTTGTAACTTTCCAAAATCAAATTTCTAATCCCCTTTAGCTGCATTTCAAATATTTTTTTGAAGTTCTTAAACTTGTTTTTAAGCTTATTTCACTAAGAATTGAAGGAAACTCACCTGGTGCTATAAAACTTGTTGATTCAAAAGTGCCTAATAATTGAAAAGCAGTTAATAAGCCATTTCTGAAAGTGATTAGAAAAGGAAGTATGCGAACCCAGTGTCTTTTGAATAAGAGAAGATGGTTTCCCCTTATCTCCCAGACCTCTAGATCTGGAGATCTTTGTCTTGTGGTCTTCTCATGAGGAACAACTGTCTGGTGGAACATCTGTAGGTGATCTCAAATCCTTTCTTTCTCTGGAGAGGAATTACAAAGAGTCATCTGTGTTTAGTGGACCTGTTTTTCACCTTTACCATTTCTTTGTATCATTCTACAGGTGGGGCAATTTTATAATAGAAATCTTATGTGAAAGTATCTTGTGCATGTGAATTGTAGGACATAACAAGAGAGAAAAAGTTCAAGTTATAAGTTAGGGTACTCTTAAGTAAAATTTCAAATCAATTTAGAAAATTATAAAAATGTCAACTCTGTATTTATTTTTGAGGCTTAGTAACAATATTTTGTGAGTTCTGTCATATTTATTTGATTTTGATGTAACATACTATTGACCTCACTTAAATGTGTTTGTAAACAGTGGTTTATAAATTATTTTATATCTCTACTTTCCAGTTTGCTAGAGATTGAAAATAGTTTCTACTGTGCAAAATGAGTCAGTTGTATTTAATTGAATGAAACATGATGTACAAAATGTATGAAAATTAAATATAATGTATTTTTATGCATATCTAATTTATAAAGTTGGTATCTGTTGCTACAAATGAAGAAATGTTAAATCTTGTTATAGATAGCATTTATTTATATTTTTAAGATATTTTCATGATTATCCTTAAAGTTGTAAATTTACATTATTTAAATTGATTTAAGTAATTTAAGCAGAGCTACCTAAAATAAAAAATAAAAAAAATAAAATCTTGTATTTTACTCTTAATTACTAGTTACTTTTGTAAACAAGTAGATACTGAAGCATCAGTAATGTTCTGGGAAATTTTCTTTTTCAGATTGCAATGTTGATAGTGTTACCATTGTTTTTTAGAGAGAAACTCTGGCTTTATTTCTCCGCTACTTCTGTGGATTTCTTTGAGACTGGCAGATCAGTACCTTTTGGGTTAGGTTGATGTCTTTATATTGACATAGCTTTCAAAAGGGTTAAGGTTGTGACTTTTTGTGAAAGTCTATAATGTTTATTTGAAAAGTAATGATTGTGTGGTTTCGTGATTTTTTAAAAAATGTATCTTGCCTTCTCTCTCTCTCTCTTTCTGTCTCTCTGGTGGAAAATGGAAGTCAGATTCTTTCATATCTTTCATTCTTTCAATTTCCTTGAATTCAACTTCTGATAATTTAATGGACACATCCATATAAATTTTGTGATGGAATTATGGGAAAGGTTTGTCAATCAATAATGGGAAATACCATTTCAGAGTGTTTAATTAGTACTTGAATTTCACAAATAAGGATTGCTCTGAGAATGCTTGTCCTTTTAATTGCATTGACCTCACTGGAATAGATTATATAATGGTAATGTGACATCCTTGCAGTAAAAGAAGAATGCTTATAATTTTACAATTAATATCCTTTGCATCAGATGAAATTATTGTTATG